GGCAGCAGGTAAGGGGGCAAGAGGGGGAAGGGGGAGGGGGAAGAGGTAGAGGGCAGTACCGAAGTATTTGGTTGCTCACACACACCATCAATAATCTCTACTCGACCTTAAAGAAAAAATATATAAAAATACTATTATTATGATGTACAGCTGTAGACATAATTCCCTGGACACTTAAGGTCAATATCTCTGGTTATAATCCACTTCAGGGTCGCGTAGGTGCGGTCATCTTATCGTTAAATGTATACACTCTCTCTCTCTCTCTCTCTCTCTCTCTCTCTCTCTCTCTATTTTCTCTCTCAAACACAACAAACATACGGACCAAATTTTATTATGTAAGTTTTTTATTTCAATGTATTTTTCTAAACTTTAAATCAGCCTTAAACTTAATATTTTTTGAACAAGTTTTACGTTTAAATTATCATAAATAAACGTATATTCTGAATCCCTCAATAAAGACACTGGATTTTATATATCAAACCAACACAGAGATTCAATATACTACAGTTATATTTTACTACAAACATAAAATTTTATATATGACGTACATAAATGTCAATAAACTTCAACTATCCCCTAATTCTTTCATATTCTCCTAACCTAACCAAACCTAACCTAACCTAAACTCACAAAAACCAACATCAAAATCCAAGCCTTTTAATAATCTCACTAAATTTCACGTTCAGTTTATGTTAAGAGCCAAGGCGTGACCCAGGCCAAGCCCCCCCCCCCCACACTATGATTTACGCCGTGATTGGTCGTGTGATTATGGCTGAGGACACACAGAGGCTGGGAGGATTGGAGGATTGGTATAGACAACACGAACCTGAAAACATCTTGGAGTGGAGGGCAGTAGTCGCCAACCCTCAGACAGATGTGATGATGACACCTTAATTGATCTAACTGATGGTGTTTATGGGGGATGGAGGATGAGTTATGTGGGTTTTTTGTTTCTGTTGAAGTTTATGAGGTTTACGGGTCGTTAAAGTTGCATTCCTAATCCGTCGTACGTCAAGAGGTTAAGATAAGGTGTCCTAATCCCAATCTTATGCCTCCCACAACACAATCCCTCGCTTCCCACACATCAAGGACTCGAATTCCCTCATTTACATACTGTCGAAGAGATGAGACCTCCCTCACCCCTTCCCCCTCTCTCTCAGTCTCGGGGTGGAGGTGGCAGGTTCGTCTTTGAGGAGGACGTGTGGTGGCGCAAGACGTGATGTGATGACCAGATGATGCACCTGACTGTGAGAGAGAGAGTGTGTGTGTGTGTGTGTGTGTAAACTCCTTTCTCTGTCGTTCTGTCGGTCACTTTGTGTACGATTGTGGATGTCTGTCTGTCTATCTCAATGAGTCTTTTACAATAGACACCATCTTCTTAATGTCTAGCTAAATGTCTGTCTGTCTTGCCCCCAACACACACACACACACGGTAAACTTTCAGCCATTACTCTCGGCTGTGAATGAGTCCCACGAGAAGTCATCTACCTTATATACCTGTCTCGCTACAGGTAACTCTGCGCCATGAAGATTAGACACCCCAGTTTACTGCACCTGTTAGTTAACCACGCTACTGTTAACCTAACCTAAATTAACCTATCCTAATCTAGCCCTAAACAATCTAACCTAACCTAATAGTGACGAGGTGGCGTGGATGCAGTGACGATTTGGAGAGCAGCAGTGACACGGTGAAGCCGAATTGCAGTGAAATCGTGACGCCAGAGAGCAGATAATTACCACTGTTAGCTTCCATCGATCACCAAAAACCACGTAGTTATTTTTTTAGCAATAATTACCCCCCCCCCTCCCCCCCCAGCAGAAGGCACGTGAGCAGCAGTGAAATCTGTAGGGAGCAGTGAAGGCGTGACTCCCACCCATCGAGTAACAGTGATAATAATGGTAACTTTCACCCATCGCTTTAAGGTAATTTCTCGCCATAGCCATAAGCATCACCTGAAGATTAGACACCCAAGTTTATTTCACCTGAAGATTAGAGACTCTATATCACCTGATGATTAGGCACGTTTTAAGCTGACACCAAAACGAACCAAGCTTAAGCCAAGACGCACCAAGCTTAAGCCAAGACGTACCAAGTTTAAGTCAAGACGCACCAAGCTTAAGCAGAGATGCAGTAAGCTTAACCCAAGACGCAGCAAGCTTAAGTCATTACCATTTGAAGAAGCCGTCAACAGGATATCACCAAGACTTCCGTGTTTTAGCTTCCTGTTCGTGAGTCACAAATTAAGCTGAGGAAAGCTAAGTGGTGGTGATGGGCCATGTTGCTGAGCGAACCACAGCTAAGAGTCGTTCAAGGTCTTTAGTTGTGTGTGTGTGTGTGTGTGTGTGTGTGTGTGTGTGTGTGTGTGTGTGTGTGTGTGTGTACAGAAACTCACTTACCCTAACCTAAACTAACTAAACAAGGAAATATCAAGTTAGTTTAAGTCCGGATACCTTAGGTAAAGTTTGATTAGGTTAGGTTAGGTCAGGGTAGCTTAGGTCAAGTTAGAAGAGGTTAGGTTAGCTTAGGTTAGGTCAAATGCCACTTTACTCCAACAAGCACCTCACTACACAACTATTAATAACACACATCACAATAGAACTCATTGATTGTCACACAGGTGGGCCAGGTTCATCCCTCGCCTCCGCACAATACATCACTAATACAATGATATTTTTTCACCTAAGGTCAATAATTAAATTACTCTAACAAAGGTGTGTGGCTGAGAATAGGTCTAATTGGAAACCTTACTGAGTTGAGGGTCGAATTGAATGATGACTTGATAATAAAAAAATAATAATGATAATAACAATAATAATATCAACAAAAAATACTACTACTAATATAGGCACGCTGCAGTTTCCTCCATTTTTATGTTCTTACTACTACTACTACTAATAATAATAACAATAGCAATAATAATAATAATAATAGCAATAATAATAATAATAATAATAATAATAACGAAATAAATAAAACACATTTAATTACATACCTTCCAACCTACCTCCCCCCCCGCCCCCTCCCCCCCCACACACACCTTATCTACGTACATCAAAGCCCCGGCTGTTGACATTTATCTCTCTAATGACCACTAGAGGTCACCTGTTTCCGGTGTCACATCCTCTCCCCAGGTCACAGGTTAGGTTAGATTAAGTTAGGATTAGGGTGTTCAATCACCAGGTGAAATAGTCTGGGGTGCCTAATCTTCAGGGTGATATACCACTTCTTACACCAGGTCACTCCCAGGTCACACTCCCTTAACCCCTCAATACGGCATCAGTCCACCACCTTTGTTATTAAAATGTCACTCAAGTTGGACCGGTGTGGGGATGACTAAGCAAGGTCGTGGCAGGTGTGTGTGTGTGTGTGTGTGTGAGAGAGAGAGAGAGCTGACACACTCCAAACAGTTTATCATCACAGCTGTGGTTGATACCTTATTGATTCACCTATACCACACACACACTACAGCATCCTTCATCTTACAGTAAATTCAGTCACACCAGTTTTTGTAATGTTTCTTCTCATCTCACGGCTTTGTGTCCACCGTTACCCACCCAACACCAGCTAGTAGCATTGTAAACATCATATATATAAACTATTAACAATATATAAATTGTGTGTATGTAAACTAATAATATATATAGCATGTATGTAAACTATTATCATTATATAAATAGCATTATGTAAACTATCATTAACATATAAATAGCATGTAAACTAGTATCATTATATAAATATCATATATAAACTAGCCTAATTATATAAACTATCACCATTATCAAAACAGCTAAAATTAACAAGACACTATCTCATCTCACAACATTAACTCACACTAACAGAATCTACATAACGATAATAACGCACTCTAAATACAACGACTAACAAGAATAACACACCTTTAATCCCTTCACTACAGCACGACACTTACATATTGTATTAAGTTAATGCTAGGCGATTTTATTCCGCTCAGTGAAGACCCAACCCCACCCCACCTAACCCAACCCCACTCCACCCAGCCCCACCTCACTTCACCCCACCCCACCTCATCCAACCCCCATACACAAGGGGTTAAAAAAATATGACCCAGTTTGACTTATGAAGAACTTAAAAACCTCAAAAACAAAAGAATTTAACATATATTTTAACTTTAAAGGACTAATATTAACCTGAATATTAACCTTGTATATAAAAATTAATATATATAAGTACAGGCTATATAATATACACAGATATATAGTTATAAACAGGTAAATATAATATAGATTGATACATATATATTTTTGTATAAGTAAATTATATAAATACAAAGATAAAATATAAAATAAATACGTTGATATATAAAAACATAGATATTTACACTCCATATATGTAAAGATACGTATAAGACGGTACGGTTATATAAAGGGTATATTAATAATACCTAACATAGCTTCCTCAAAACGTCCAGGTATGTTGAGAAAGTCTAATAGTGGAGGCTGGACACACACTAGTTCATCGTCACTAGTGTGGTAGGCTAGACGCGGTTACCTGCTTAGGCTAGTACAGGTATTATAATTATCATCCTAGGTATTGACGGGTTACCTTACAGGGACTACACCCACCACAGTACTAGGACTACACACATACACACACACACACACTGAGCCCCGCCACACACCTGAACATGGGCGGTGGGCGGGAGGAGTAAGGGCGGGGAGGCAATAAATTCAACAAGAACACCATCTGCACTACAAGCTCTCTTCCTCACTATCACCAATATCCCCACGAGTTCACTATTACCGTCACGTAACATAATTCTTCCATATATTAATAATATTTCCCAAAACACTCACTTCAAATACACAATACACACAAATACACCTTTTGAAGTCTTATCAAAACACAAAACGACACTTTCAACAATTCACAAATGATTTTTTTCAGTGTTTGTCATTTTCAAATCTATGATGACATTTTTCCTTTCACAAGTCAATCATTTTAAAACTCACTCTTCACTCAC